GGCATCGGTTGTAGTGACATCAGTTGTAGTGACATCAGTTGTGACATCCGTTGTAGTGACATCCATCCATCGGTTGTAGTGACATCAGTTGTAGTGGCATCGGTTGTAGTGACATCAGTTGTAGTGGCATCGGTTGTAGTGACATCAGTTGTAGTGACATCAGTTGTGTGAGTTGTAGCATCGGTTGTGGTGACATCAGTTGTAGTGGCATCGGTTGTAGTGGTCAGTTGTAGTTGCATCGGTTGTAGTGGCATCAGTTGTGTGGCATCGGTTGTGCGGTTGTAGTGACATCAGTTGTAGTGACATCAGTTGTGCATCGGTTGTAGTGGCATCGTTGTATCGGTTGCATCAGTTGTAGTGGCATCGGTTGTAGTCAGTTGTGGTGGCATCGGTTGTAGTGGCATCAGTTGTGGCATTGTGGTGACATCAGTTGTAGTGGCATCGGTTGTAGTGACATCATCGGTTGTAGTGCATCAGTTGCATCGGTTGTAGTGGCATCAGTTGTAGTGGCATCGGTTGTAGTGGCAGTTGTGGTGGCATCGGTTGTAGTGGCAGTTGTAGTGGCAGGTTGTGCATCAGTTTGTAGTGGCATCGGTTGTAGTGCATCAGTTGTGGTGGCATCGGTTGTATCAGTTGTAGTGGCATAGTGGCATCGGTTGTAGTGGCATCAGTGGCATCCCATCGGTTGTAGTGGCATCATCAGTCATCGGTTGTAGTGGCATCAGTCCAGTCATCGGTTGTACTGGTTGCTGGCTCGTGCCTCCGAACTCTCCTTCGGCCGGTGCTGTCGATGGTGCCGAGTCTGTCGCTGGCCTCGTCCAGGGCCGCTTCCAGAGCCCCCAGGGAAGGGTCGATGGTTGCGAGCTCTAGAAGCCTTGCAGTTACGTTGAAGGCACTAGTGGTGGTAGGTATGGTTGTAGTTGTGATGGCCGTAGTTGTTGTATCAGGAGTCGTTGTTGTATCTGCAGTAGTTGTATCTTCAGTGGTTGTATCTGCAGTGGTTGTATCTGCAGTGGTTGTATCTGCAGTGGTTGTATCTGCAGTAGTTGTATCTTCAGTGGTTGTATCTGCAGTGGTTGTATCTGCAGTGGTTGTATCTTCAGTGGTTGTATCTGCAGTGGTTGTATCTGCAGTGGTTGTATCTGCAGTGGTTGTATCTGCAGTGGTTGTATCTTCAGTGCTGCAGTGGTTGTATCTGCAGTGGTTGTATCTTCAGTGGTTGTATCTGCAGTGCAGTGTTGTATCAGTGGTTGTATCTGCAGTGTTGTATCTGCAGTGGTTGTATCTAGTGGCATCTGCAGTGGTTGTATCTGCAGTGGTTGTATCACTGCAGTGGTTGTATCTTCAGTCAGTGGTTGTATCTGTGGTTGTATCTGCAGTGGTTGTATCTGCAGTGGTTGTATCTGCAGTGGTTGTATCTGCAGTGGTTGTATCTGCAGTAGTTGTATCTGCAGTGGTTGTAATATCTGCAGTGGTTGTATCTGCAGTCGTTGTTGTATCTGCAGTGGTTGTGTCTGTAGTGGTTGTATCTGCAGTGGTTGTATCTGCAGTGGTTATATCTGCAGTAGTTGTATCTGTATCTGCAGTAGTTGTATCTGCTGCAGTGTTGTATCTGCAGTGGTTGTATCTGCAGTGGTTGTATCTGCAGTAGTTGTATCTGCAGTGGTTGTATCTGCAGTGGTTGTATCTGCAGTGGTTGTATCTGCAGTGGTTGTATCTGCAGTAGTTGTATCTGCAGTGGTTGTATCTTCAGTGGTTGTAATATCTGCAGTGGTTGTATCTGCAGTGGTTGTATCTGCAGTAGTTGTATCTGCAGCGGTTGTATCGACAGTTGTTGTATCTGCAGTGGTTGTATCGACAGTTGTTGTATCTGCAGTGGTTGTATCTGCAGTCTGCAGTGGTTGTATCTGCAGTGGTTGTATCTGCAGTAGTTGTATCTGTGGTTGTATCTGCAGTGTTGTATCTGCAGTGGTTGTATCTGCAGTAGTCTGCAGTAGTTCTGCAGTGGTTGTATCTGCAGTCTGCAGTGGTTGTATCAGTGGTATCTGCAGTGGTTGTATCTGCAGTAGTTGTATCTACAGTCGTTGTATCTTAGTGGTTGTATCTGCAGTAGTTCTGCACTTCAGTGGTTGTATCTGCAGTGGTTGTATCTGTAGTTGTATCTGCAGTGGTTGTATCTGCAGTCTGCAGTATCTGCAGTGGTTGTATCTGCAGTAGTTGTATCTGCAGTGGTTGTATCTTCAGTGGTTGTATCTGCAGTGGTTGTATCTGCAGTGGTTGTATCTGCAGTGGTTGTATCTGCAGTAGTTGTATCTGCAGTGGTTGTATCTGCAGTAGTTGTATCTGCAGTGGTTGTATCTGCAGTGGTTGTATCTGCATCTGCAGTAGTTGTATCTGCAGTGGTTCTGCAGTGGTAGTGGTTGTATCTGCTGTATTGTATCTGCAGTGGTTGTATCTGCAGTAGTTGTATCTGCAGTAGTTGTATCTGCAGTGGTTGTAATATCTGCAGTGGTTGTAGTGGTTGTATCTGCAGTAGTTGTATCTGCAGTGGTTGTATCTGCAGTAGTTGTATCTGTTTGTATCTGCAGTAGTTGTATCTCAGTATCTTCAGTGGTTGTATCTGCAGTGGTTGTATCTGCAGTAGTTGTATCTGCAGTGGTTGTATCTTCAGTGGTTGTATCTGCAGTAGTTGTATCTGCAGTGGTTGTAATATCTGCAGTGGTTGTATCTGCAGTGGTTGTATCTGCAGTCTGCAGTGGTTGTATCTGCAGTTGTAATATCTGCAGTGGTTGTATCTGCAGTCTGTGGTTGTATCTGCAGTGGTTGTATCTGCAGTGGTTGTATCTGCAGTGGTTGTATCTGCAGTGGTTGTATCTGCAGTAGTTGTATCTGCAGTTGTTGTATCTGTAGTGGTTGTAATATCTGTGGTTGTATCTGCAGTAGTTGTATCTGCAGTGGTTGTATCTGCAGTAGTTGTATCTACAGTCGTTGTATCTTCAGTGGTTGTATCTGCAGTAGTTGTATCTGCAGTGATTGTATCTTCAGTGGTTGTATCTGCAGTGGTTGTATCTGCAGTGTTGTATCTGCAGTGCAGTAGTTGTATCTGCAGTGGTTGTATCTGCAGTGGTTGTATCTGCAGTAGTTGTATCTGCAGTGGTTGTATCTTCAGTGGTTGTATCTGCAGTGGTTGTATCTGCAGTGGTTGTATCTGCAGTCAGTGGTTGTATCTGGTTGTATCTGCAGTGGTTGTATCTGCAGTAGTTGTATCTGCAGTGGTTGTATCTGCAGTCTGTATCTGCAGTGGTTGTATCTGCAGTGTATCTGCAGTGGTTGTAAGTGTTGTATCAGTGTTGTATCTGCAGTGGTTGTATCTGCAGTGGTTGTATCTGCAGTTGTATCTGCAGTAGTTGTATCTGCAGTGGTTGTATCTGCAGTAGTTGTATCTGTGTTGTATCTGCAGTTGTATCTGCAGTAGTTGTATCTGTGGTTGTATCTTCAGTGGTTGTATCTGCAGTGGTTGTATCTGCAGTGGTTGTATCTGCAGTAGTTGTATCTGCAGTGGTTGTATCTTCAGTGGTTGTATCTGCAGTAGTTGTATCTGCAGTGGTTGTAATATCTGCAGTGGTTGTATCTCAGTATCTGCAGTATCTGCAGTGGTTGTATCTGCAGTTGTAGCAGTGGTTGTATCTGCAGTAGTTGTATCTGCAGTGGTTGTATCTGCAGTGGTTGTATCTGCAGTGGTTGTATCTGCAGTGGTTGTATCTGCAGTGGTTGTATCTGCAGTCAATCTGCTGCAGTGGTTGTAATATCTGCAGTGGTTGTATCTACAGTGGTTGTATCTGCAGGGGTTGTATCGTAGTTGTATCGGCAGTGGTTACATCTGCAGTGGTTGTATCTGCAGTGGTTGTATCTGCAGTGGTTGTATCTGCAGTGGTTGTATCTGCAGTGGCTGCTGCAGTAGTTGTATCTGTGGTTGTATCTGTAGTGGTTGTATCTGCAGTGGTTGTAATATCTGCAGTCGTTGTAATATCTGTAGTAGTAGTTGTATCTGCAGTATTCGTATCTGCAGTGCCTGCAGTGCTGCAGTGGTTGTAATATCTGCAGTGGTTGTATCTACAGTGGTTGTATCTGCAGATCGGCAGTAGTGTATCGCAGTGGTGCAGTGGTTGTATCAGTGATCTGCAGTGGTTGTATCTGCAGTGGCTGTATCTGCAGTAGTTGTATCTGCAGTGGTTGTATCTGCAGTGGTTGTAATATCTGCAGTATATCTGTATTGGTTGTATCTGCAGTAGTTGTATGTATCTGCAGTGGTTTTATATCTGCAGTGGTTGTAATATCTACAGTGGTTGTATCTGCAGTATTCGTATCTGTAGTGGTTGTAATATCTGCAGTGGTTGTAATATCTACAGTGGTTTTATCTGCAGTAGTTGTATCTGCAGTAGTTATATCTACCGTTGTTGTACCTGTAGTCGTTGTATCTGCAGTAGTTATATCTGCAGTGGTTGTATCTGCAGTAGTTATATCTGTAGTCGTTGTTTTATCTGCAGTCGATGTTGTGTCTGCAATAGTTGTTGCATCTGCAGTAGTTGTATCTGCTATTGTCGTTTGTGGTTGTGGAGAGTGGTTGGTGGCGTCCTCTGGTTAAGAGTGGTTGGTGGTGGAGGCTTAGAAGCTTAGGAAGCTTAGGCTCTCTCTTAGGGGTGGTTGGTGGCTCTGGGTTAAGAGTGGTTGGTGGCTTAGGGGTGGTTGGTGGCTCTGGTTAAGAGTGGTTGGTGGCTTAGGAGAGTGGTTGGTGGGAGAGTTAGGGGCGGTTGGTGGCTCAGGGTTAAGTGTGGTTGGTGGCGGAGGCTTAGGGGTGGTTGGTGGCTCTGGGTTAAGAGTGGTTGGTGGCGGAGAGTTAGGGGCGGTTGGTGGCTCTGGGTTAAGTGTGGTTGGTGGCGGAGGCTTAGGGGTGGTTGGTGGCTCTGGGTTAAGAGTGGTTGGTGGCGGAGAGTTAGGGGCGGTTGGTGGCTCTGGGTTAAGTGTGGTTGGTGGCGGAGGCTTAGGGGTGGTTGGTGGCTCTGGGTTAGAGTGGTTGGTGGCGGAGAGTTAGGGGCGGTTGGTGGCTCTGGGTTAAGTGTAGTTGGTGGCGGAGGCTTAGGGGTGGTTGGTGGCTCTGGGTTAAGAGTGGTTGGTGTCGGCGGCTTGAGGGTGGTTGGTGGCTCCGGTTTAAGAGTGGTTGGTGGCGGTGGCTCAGGGGTACCTGGGTCCTCTTTGAGTGGTAAAAGAGCATAGAATTAGTAACTCCACACGTAACCAGGCTTTTGTATAGGAATCACCTAATAATTCTCCTCTTTGATGCAGTTTCATTGATGTCCTTGCTATCATTATTTCTCCCATGATTCTCATTTTGATTACCATCATCATAATTATTGCTAGTATTCTCATCATGAGATTTCGATGGCCATGGTGATGACGATGAAGATGGCGATGTGGGACGATGATAATGATGGTGAGGAATGCTTATCATTATTCTATTATTGCCATTATTATTGCTCTAATTATTATCATTGTCAATAATATAATTTTTGTTATCATTATGATCAGCATCATGATTACTGCTGTTAATATGATTGACATAATTATCATTACGATTATCATTAATAAGATTTTCATTAGTAGTGTTAGTAGTAGTAGTAGTATATCTTTTCTTAAATCATTGTCATTATTACCATAACTATAATAAGCAGTAGTATCATCATTATCTTAACTCGTATCAAATATTGAATATCAAGGTTTTCCTCATTATCAGAACTGTCATCAATATTTTCAGTAGCATTTTAATTATTCATATAAACATCACCATTGCAATTATTATAGTATTATTATTATCACTATCAAATGAATGTAACCACATTATCGTTATGAATAAGAAGCTGCTGCGAAGCGAATCATTTCACCTATAAACTAAATCTGTTCTTTAATTTCGTTCATACCATTATCATTAATGGTATTATTGACTCGTATCATTACTTGTAACATTTTGTCATTAAATAATGGCGACGATAATCATCACAATGAAATAGAATAACACAGTACATAGGCAGTACATTTCGTATTTGTATATAAGTATGTTTAAAGCCATTCATGAGCATGTAGATTTTCGAGTACGTGTGAATCTGTGCTTTACGCAATTTTCTTTCACTTACCTAGACAGCAGACTTTGGGTTCCTCGCATGGCTTCTTCACCTTGACGATTCTACCGTTGCACTTTTCTTCCTTCTTACACTTCCCTCCTCGGTCGCGACAGGTGCGGATTAAGCAGCATACCTTACCAGCTTTGCACTTCTTGCTGGGGTTTAACACTTTGCTTTGACATGTGTCTTCCTTTTTACACTGTCCACTTAGTGATTTACAAGTTGTTCCCTTTTCACAACAGACCTTACCACTCTTGCACGGTACAGAGGGAGTAAGTATATCCCCTTCGCATTTGGCTTCCTTTTTGCATTCACCTCCTAGATCTTTGCAAGTGTTCTTTCCTTTTTCACAACAGACCTTGCCACTTTCGCACGGTACAGAGGGAGTAAGTATATCCTCAGTGCATTTGTCTTCCTCTCGACATGTACCTCCTAGATCTTTGCAAGTGTTTTTTCCTTTTTCACAACAGACCTTGCCACTTTCGCACGGTACAGAGGGAGTAAGTATATCCTCAGTGCATTTGTCTTCCTCTCGACATGTACCTCCTAGATCTTTGCAAGTGTTTTTCCTTTTTCACAACAGACCTTGCCACTTTCGCACGGTACAGAGGGAGTAAGTATATCCTCAGTGCATTTGTCTTCCTCTCGACATGTACCTCCTAGATCTTTGCAAGTGTTTTTTCCTTTTTCACAACAGACCTTGCCTTTTGCACGGTACAGAGGGAGTAAGTATATCCTCAGTGCATTTGTTCCTCTCGACATGTACCTCCTAGATCTTTGCAAGTGTTTTTCCTTTTTCACAACAGACCTTGCCACTTGCACGGTACAGAGGGAGTAAGTATATCCTCAGTGCATTTGTCTTCCTCTCGACATGTACCTCCTAGATCTTTGCAAGTGTTTTTTTCCTTTTTCACAACAGACCTTGCCACTTTCGCACGGTACAGAGGGAGTAAGTATATCCTCAGTGCATTTGTCTTCCTCTCGACATGTACCTCCTAGATCTTTGCAAGTGTTTTTTCCTTTTTCACAACAGACCTTGCCACTTTTGCACGGTACAGAGGGAGTAAGTATATCCTCAGTGCATTTGTCTTCCTCTCGACATGTACCTCCTAGATCTTTGCAAGTGTTTTTTCCTTTTTCACAACAGACCTTGCCACTTTTGCACGGTACAGAGGGAGTAAGTATATCCCCAGTGCATTTGTCTTCCTCTCGACATGTACCTCCTAGATCTTTGCAAGTGTTTTTCCTTTTTCACAACAGACCTTGCCACTTTTGCACGGTACAGAGGGAGTAAGTATATCCTCAGTGCATTTGGCTTCCTCTCGACATGTACCTCCTAGATCTTTGCAAGTGTTTTTTCCTTTTTCACAACAGACCTTGCCACTTTTGCACGGTACAGAGGGAGTAAGTATATCCCCGTCGCATTTGGCTTCCTCTCGACATGTACCTCCTAGATCTTTGCAAGTGTTTTTTTCCTTTTTCACAACAGACCTTGCCACTTTTGCACGGTACAGAGGGAGTAAGTATATCCCCGTCGCATTTGGCTTCCTCTCGACATGTACCTCCTAGATCTTTGCAAGTGTTCTTTCCTTTTTCACAACAGACCTTGCCACTTTTGCACGGTACAGAGGGAGTAAGTATATCCTCCGTCGCATTTGGCTTCCTGACATGTACCTCCTAGATCTTTGCAAGTGTTCTTTCCTTTTTCACAACAGACCTTGCCACTTTTGCACGGTACAGAGGAGTAAGTATATCCCAGTGCATTTGGCTTCCTCTCGACATGTACCTCCTAGATCTTTGCAAGTGTTTTTTCCTTTTTCACAACAGACCTTGCCACTTTTGCACGGTACAGAGGGAGTAAGTATATCCTCAGTGCATTTGGCTTCCTCTCGACATGTACCTCCTAGATCTTTGCAAGTGTTCTTTCCTTTTTCACAACAGACCTTGCCACTTTTGCACGGTACAGAGGGAGTAAGTATATCCCCGTCGCATTTGGCTTCCTCTCGACATGTACCTCCTAGATCTTTGCAAGTGTTTTTTCCTTTTTCACAACAGACCTTGCCACTTTGCACGGTGAGGGAGTAAGTCCCCGTGCATTTGCTTCCTCTCGACATGTACCTCCTAGATCTTTGCAAGTGTTTTTTCCTTTTTCACAACAGACCTTGCCACTTTTGCACGGTACAGAGGGAGTAAGTATATCCCCGTCGCATTTGGCTTCCTTTTTGCATTCACCTCCTAGATCTTTGCAAGTGTTTTTTCCTTTTTCACAACAGACCTTGCCACTCTTGCAAGGTGTAGAGGGAGTAAGTATACCTCCGTGCATTTGGCTTCGCATTACCTCCTAGATCTTTGCAAGTGTTTTTTCCTTTTTCACAACAGACCTTGCCACTCTTGCAAGGTGTAGAGGGAGTAAGTATACCTCCGTCGCATTTGGCTTCCTTTTTGCATTCACCTCCTAGATCTTTGCAAGTGTTTTTTCCTTGATTACAACAGACCTTACCTCTCTTGCACGGTACAGAGGGATTACGTATACCTCTGTTGCATCTGGCTTCCCTTTTGCATTCACCTTCTAGATCTTTGCAAGTATTTTTTCCTTTTTCACAACAGACCTTACCACGCTTGCAAGTGGTAAGGGACTCTAAGACTTCCGTTTTGCACTTTTCTCGTTTTTTACATTTCCCCCCCATTTGTCTGCAGGTCCTTTTTGTTTTCTTGCAGCACTTCCAATCTTTGATCGGGCAATTGAAGGGAAGAGGATTTTTGCATTTTTTGTTAGATATCTTGCAAATTCCTCCTTCTGCTTTACAGTCGTTTGTCTTGGCTATAACTTGGCTCCAAGGTGCTGGCTTTGAGCGGTTTCTGCAGCACACCTTACCATTGGGACATGCTCTTTCTTTATCAGAATGACCGCGGCACTTGGATTTACATCTCCCATAGTCCTTCGTACATCCCTTGGAACCTTTGGAGAAAAGAAAAGATAAAGATTTAGGGAAGCTTGCCTTGTTGTGAACAGAGAAAAAAGGGTACTTATGATAACATGGTATTCCGCAATATATGCAAATTTTTGAAATAAATATTTTATATTTAGACATATATATCAAGAAATAAACATGGTAAAAAATGAAATTGAATCGTTGCATATCAGAACTGTAAGGAGTTCCTCATCAGACGAGCAAACACATACACATTATCTATCTATACATATATAAATGAATGGTAAAAACTATCTTGTTACTAGATAGAAAACCCACAATGCACAAAATCTATTGAAAATTAGGCAATATTTTCGAAATCCTCCTGCATTTCATCTTCAGGTCTGAAGAGGAAAGGGAGAGGAGGGAATTTAAAAGAGTGGGAGGAGAGGCAATGCTATGAGCACAAGACAGGTGAGGACAAGTGAACAGAAGTAAAAGGTCAGGTCAGGTTGAAGGATCAGATGGTTTATGCGAAGGATGGCCAGTTTAAAGGAGTAGGTGGAGGATGTGAGAAACTATGAGAATGTTGGCAGGAGAGAGGGAGGGAGAGAAACCTGTTTAAGCTAAAATCAGGCAGCAGCTTAATTAATGAAGATTCAATTTCCCTAGCAACTTAGCGAAAAGTGAGCCTGCAGTGTAAAGAGTGCGACAGAGTAAATTTCATTGTAGAGCTAGCTGAGAATGGGCATGTGAAATGTCTTTAGGGGGGAGGGTTGTGGCAGAAGGTATTCTCTGCTTTGGATAATGCAACGTCGAGTACATGACGAGGATAGCCCACTTTGGAGAAGTAATAACGCAGAAAATCAACCTATCCATCCAGGTACTGAGGATCACAGATGCAGAGGGCAT